ACCAGGCGAAGGAATACAAATATGCTATGGAGGATTAAATTGTCATTGTGGACTCTTCTGCTCATATCCGCTGGGGTTTCTACAGCTCAGCAGTTAAGTACAAGGCTAATGAGCCCCAACGTTCTATCTGTTCATTTGTCTGTCCATCTATTCATCCATCGGCCCACCCCTCAGTTCATCTATCCATCCATCCAACATTTGTTGAGTGTCTGCACACTGCCATGTGTTGGGAATAAAGAGAAAAATGAGAATGAGAAAAGCTTCTCTCTCGAAGAATTTCGTCTCTAGGAGAATGCATCCATAAACAGAAAACCTTGAATTATTGATAACATTTCGGTGAGTGCTACAGTAGCTTCATGGACTGAATAAACACGAGCCAGAACTAGAATGTGGTCTTTTGCATGATCCTCCAATGGATGTCCTAGAAGACCTGGTCATCAGAGCATCACTCTGGTAGCCCTCCTGCTTCAGAGATCAAACACAGATCATGTCCATCCATGTCTATGGTGAGGATATGGGGAGACCTGCTCTAGTCCCAGCACCCCATGTGGATACATGTCCCAGCATTCACAACCTTCACAGTGATTTCTCCCCACTGATCAACAACCCATTTAGGTGACTGCTAATAATCCTGCTACCAGAAATTTCGGGTGTGATGTAAATTGTGCAGAGAAGCATGGAGAAATATCCTTCTAGAAGGGATTTGAAAATAGCATGTAGAAAAGTGAAACTTTGGTTGCTCAGTTGTAAAGAATCTGCCTGCCAATATAGGAGGCTCAGGAGACTTGGGTTTGATCACTGGATTGGGAGGATCCCCTAGAGGAGGAAATGGCAACCCACTCCAGTATTCTTGCCTGGAGAATCCCATGAAAAAGAGGAGACTGGTGGGTTACAGTCCACAGCGTCATTAAGTGTTGGACACCACTGAACACATATGTATGCACATCAACCAAAGCAAACTAGAGGCCTTGCTCTGCTGCTGCTGTGATGTCACTTCAGTCGTGTCTGACTCTATGCGACCCCATGGACTGCAGCCTACCAGGCTCCTCTGTCCATGGGATTCTCCAGGCAAGAGTACTGGAGTGGGGTGCCATTAGGCATTGCTCTAGGAGTACCTAATTTTCTCTCCCTTGCTCTAGTTTTTTCAGTAGAAAAACTATTAAGGATTGAGTTAACAGGCCCTGCTTCCGCTGGAAGGTAATCCTGGCATATTAGTTCTTTTTGGTTTCTTCTCAGTAGACTGGAATCATGGATGGTTTTAGTTTCTGCTTTTAATTATGGGGAATATGACTGATCACTCTGCTCTCAAGCTTCCTGCTCATGGACTTCAGCATCAGTCCTTCCAATGAATATTCAGGCTTGATTTCCTTTAGGGTTGACTGGTTTGGCCTCCTTGCAGTCCAAGGGACTCTCAGGAGTCTTCTCCAACATCACAGTTCAATAGCATCAATTATTCAATGCTCAGCTTTCTTTATGGTCCAACTTTCACACCCATACATGACTATGGGAAAAACCATAGCTTTGACTAGACAGACCTTTGTAGGCAAAGTAATGTCTTTGCTTTTTAATACTCTGTCTAGGTTTGTGATAGCTTTTCTTCCAAGGAAAAAATGTCTTTTAATTTCATGGCTGCGGTCACCATCCTCAGTGATATTGAAGCCCAAGAAAATAAAGTCTGCTACTGTTTCCATTGTTCCCTCCTCTATTTGCCATGAAGTGATGTGACTGGATGCCATGATCTTAGTTTTCTGTATGTCGAGTTAAAACATTTTCAGTCTCCTCTACATTTTTTTATTTCTTTGGCCCATAAATAAATAGGAAGTGACCATAGTACACTGGTTCCTAAGGAATCTCTGGACCAGTAGTTCTCAAACAGGGTAACTGTAGGCCTCAGGGACATTGGACCCTGTTTGCAGTTTTTATTGTCACATCTTGGAGAAATGGAGCTATTGCTTGCTAGTGGGTGTGGACCTAGGTCACAGCTACACTTCCTGTGACACACAGGTCCCCTCAACAAAGAAAGAGCCCACCCCCATGTCAACACTGGTGAAGTCAACAGAGGGCAAAGTGTCAGGCTGCATGATGCCGGATGCCTTCCTTAGAAAACCAGAGCTGCAGTGAACATTGCGGTGCATGTTTCTTTTGTACTATTTACTGTAGTCAGGACATGGAAGCAACCTAAAGGTCCATCAACAGAGGGATGGATAAAGAAGATGTGACAGATATATACCATGGAATATTATGCAGCCCTGAAAAGGGACAAAACTGTGTCATTTGCAGAGATGTGGATGAACCTAGAGACTGTCATACAGAGTGAAGTAAGTCAGAAAGAGAAAAATATTATATATTAACGCGTATACATGGAATCTAGAAAAATCGTAGAGATGAACCTATTGGCAAAGCAGAAATAGAGAGAGACATAGAGAACAACCGTATGGACACCAAGGGAGGAAGGGGGCTGGGAGGGATGAATTGGGAGATGGGATTGGCATACATACACTATTGATGTTATATATAAACTAGATAACTAGTGAGCAGCTAACGTGTAGCATAGGGAACTCAACTCAGTGCTCTAGGTGACAAAGACTGGATACATGTATATGTATAGCTGATTCACTTTGCTGTGTATCAGAAACTAACACAACACTGTGAAACAACTATGCTGCAATAAAAAAAAACAAACCCAAAAAAATGAAACAAAAAGCAAAAAAAAAAAAAAAAAAGAATACTAGGACTGAGAGATCTCAGGCAGCTGCCTCTTAGTTTTCCAGGGAGGGGTTGACCAGGGTGCAAGGGTGCACACAGCCCCATGAGGGACCCCATATCAGCCCCAGGCTCCTCTCACCCCAGACTTCACCCCACACGTCAGTCCTTCACGGCCAGCAGCCAGGAGGCATTAGACACCCACACACAGTCACATGAATGATGGGATCAGGGTTCGCTTTGGGGATTTGGGGGGGCCGTACTGTGTAAAGAGGGAAAGGGGAACACCAAATTGAATGGTGTCTAACGCACAAGGGCAACTCAGATAGAAAGAAAAAGCGCTTTACAAGTGGTAATATCAATGCGAGGTGTCCCGGGCCGTTCCTAACACAGGTCTCACGACTGTCTATGAGGTGAGCATCATCACCATTACTCCATGCAGGTGAAGCGAAGGGAGGTCCCGAGAGGTGAGGCCATCTGCCCAAGGCAACACAGCGGGAAACAGAGCTGGCTTTACACCCAGAGGCCCTGCCCCGTGTTGTAAGGTGGGAGCGAGTGAGTAGGGCACGGAGTCCATGCTCCCCAGCAGGCTCGGCCTCCTACTAGCTGTGTGGCCGGGAGGCTTTCTTCACCCATCTCCGCTACATCCTCCTTTTAAAATCTTTATCAACTGGGGATTAAGAGCTGTGCTTATCTCTACATCTGGGTCTCTATTTCTGGTTGGCAAATAAGATCATCTATGTTATTTTTCTGGATTCCAATAACAATTAATTAAAAAACCCACAACAGTCACTTTCAAAAAAAAAAAAAAGAGTTGTACTTACACTCGAGTTTTTGATTAAAAGAGATAAAGGAGGGATCATGCCTGACACATTATAAACCATTGGTGAATGTTAGCTGTGCTTGTCATCATTTAAAAGCAACAGTGTAATTTAATTATCTCAGGTGAAGACCGGAAGCTCTCCCAAGAGGAGTGTGACGGAAGCAGGTGGAAATGAGCCTGGGGGCCTCGGGGAGTCGGGGTTCGGGGCGTGGGAGGTAGGGAGGTGGGAGAGTGGACAGGTTCCCTGAGGAGACGGAGGACTCCCTCTCTTCTCTCCCCCACTGTGGACTTTTCCAGAACCCGTCCTCAGGCCCAGGCCACAGGGGTAGTCCAGGCTGATGTGAAGCTGTGGGGTCAAGGTCCCTCAGATTTTCACTCCTTCAGGTTGTGAGGTGCTTATGGAAAAGCTGACTTAGAGGGAAGAGGCTGTGTTGAAACGACTGCTTCTGTGTCAATGACCTGTTGGGTTCTAACCCGACGTGCGTCTGTGCTTGCATGCCCAGCTACACAGTCCTGTCCGATTCTTTGCGACCCCATGGACTGTAAACCACCAGGCTTCTCTGCCCATGGGGTTTTCCCTGCAAGACTACTGGAGTGGGTTGCCATTTCCTCCTCCAAGGGATCTTCCCCACCCAGGGATCGAACCCATGTCTCCTGCATTGGGCAGGCAGATTCTTTACCAGCTGAGCCACCTGGAAACTGACGTGGGAGGGGGTAAAATCTGTCACACGAAACGGTGGTGGTGGTTGCGGGGGGGTGGTGCTGGGCCTCAGACAGAGGCCACTGTGGCGGGGAGGGGGTCAGCTTGGACCTGAGGCCAGGACTCCCCAGAAAGAACTCAACCTGAGTAAAGGTCAAGGGGAACACATGGAGGGAAGATGGAAGAAGGTGGACGGGAAGTGGAGCTGGGGGTCAGGCCAGGCCCTGGGGTGTAGGCAGCTGGCTCTAAGCATGCTGAGGGTGTTTTCTGAGTCACAAGAATTCCCCAGCAATAATCTTGCAGTTCACACCATGAAATTTTTATTTCCCTTAATACTCTGTATAAGGAAATTGAGTCTAACACAGAGTCACCTTTCCAAAGGAGCTTTATTAGTTTGTTATTATATTTTTTATTGTGAAGAATAATTAGCCTGAGCACCTTTTAATTTGTTCCCATTAAGGGAATAGCTGGATGTTGCATGCTTGCTGGGAGCATCACTGAAAACCCTGGCCAGGGTGATGGTTTTGACAGGCAGGCTCCCAGAGGCTCCCTGGCTTCCTGAAGGATGGACTGGGGTCTGAGGTCCCTGATTGTCAGGGAGCATCGTTTGGCGGGTTCTTCCATACTTGGGTTCCAGGATGTGGATGGGGCAAGAGGGGCACCTTAGACACAGCATTTAAAAGAGGTGCTATCTCTCCAAAGCCTTCCAAGTTCAGGGTCAGCTTTACATGATCCTCAGAACAAGCGCCTCCTAAACATTTTTTTTTTTTTCAGGAACTGTCTCCTTGAATCAACTAGTCTTACTCCAGACAAATGGCCAGACTGCTAAACTGACAACTCAACTACCCGGTTGGGAAGAAAGGCTTAGTCATGGTTTCCCCCAACTCCCACCCCCAACCAGCCTATCACCATCCTCTTGAGAATGGGTGATTCTGATGTACGCTTGTTTGAGCACTGCTGGCTTAGAGTGGCACCCTTGAGGGGCAAGAGAGAGAGAGGGTGTCTGTCTCTCTCTCTCTCTCTCTCGGGGGGGCAGCTCTGATGGGCAGGGGCCCCGAGGATGTAGCTAGTGGCCAGGGGAGGCATTCATACCAATGGTGAGCACCTAAAGTCACCCAGTGTGTCCAGAGGCATGCCAGTCGCCCAGGAGAGTGGACTTTGCCGGTGGACAGTGGCCCCAGCTTGAGGCTCCCTGGGGTTCAACGCCCCCTCCCCACCTCCTCACAGCATCACCTTCTGTCCAGGGGCTTCGGAGAGTCTTTAGCTCCATAAAGCTCAGCCCTCTGGTGTGTCGAACTGAGATTGCTAAGAGCCACTCTTCTCCCTGCAGGCCCTGTAGAGAGAGCCCCTCCATTTGAACCTGGCTCCCTCCTTGACCAGAAGCCTCACCGCAGGTTCCCTCATCTGTGCATGCCACGCCCCCCGAATAAAAAGAGGATTAGCAATGAGTCGACCTACTCACAGGTTTCTGTGAAGGATTTAACGAGGTGACACAAGGGAAAGCTGGACACAGTGCAGGGGCTGGCGCAGAGCACACGCTCAATAAACATTACCCGTTGCTGTGATCAGCTTTGCAGAGGACTGCCCAGGTGACGCGAGTGGTAAAGAAGCCGCCTGCCGATGGAGGAGACATAAGAGGCGCGGCTTCCATCCCTGGGTTGGGAAGATCCCCTGGAGGAGGGCATGGCCACCCACTCCGGTATTCTTGTGCGGGAAAGCCGGGTGGGCTACAGTCCATCGGGTCGCGAAGAGTCAGACAGGACTGAAGCAACTTAGCAAGCACGTGGTCAGCTTTAACATTTGTAAGCTCGGCCCTCTGCCACGGAGCACTAAGGCCACGTCTGCACGGCTGCGTGGAGAGAGGAAGAGACCCAATTCTCCATTCCGCTATGTGCTGCTCTTCCTGGCACAGCTACCAGGCCTTGTTTTGGGCCCAGCAGAGGCTCCTGCCCTGCCTCCATTCTAGACAACTTCAGTGGCATTTCCCAAGGTTACCTTTCCTAATTGACTTCTTCTCTGTGTCCATTACTTTGTGTATATTATCTCCAATCCATTTGACGACCATCTGGATCATTGCACCCACTTACAGATGAGAAACCCAGGTTCTGCAAGGTTGGGGAAGCAGGTCAAGTTCACATAGGGGATAGAAACTAATCTCCTGGCCCCAAGCTCAGGGCTCCCAGCTCCCTGACCTACTGACTGGTCAGGTCTGTCCACCTCGTGGCTTCTGCACCAATGCTATTTCATAGAGAAGAGCCTGGGGCTCAAGAATACACAGTTCCTTCTGGAGTAGAGTTGATACTCCAACACCAGTGGGAGGTTGGGGGAGGGACGGAGTGGGAGATTGGGGCTAACAGACATAAGCTATCACATGTAAAAGGGATAAACTACAAAGTCCGACTGTAGAGAACAGAGAACTATATATATTGATTATCCTATGATGAAACATAATGGAAAAGAAGACATAAAAGAATATACACACACACACACGTGTGTGTGTGTGTGTGTGTGTCTATAGCTGGATCACTCTGCTGTACATCAGAAATTAGCATTGTAAACCAACTGTACATCAATAAAAAGACCAAACCAAACACACCTATTGGAGCTTCCAGCTGAAGGACTCAAGGGTGCTGATATAAGCTGAGTCTCAGTGAGCATGAAGTGTATAGTTGCCTGGGGACCTCCTGGTTTAAACTGAGGTATTTATGCAGGAGCAAGGGAGGGGAAGGAAAACCATCATAATTTGCCTTTTTAGTTTTCATCTTATTTTAATTTCTATTTTGGGGATGTGTTGTACACTGAGCATACTATACTATAATTATACAGTACAGTAGTATGAGTACAGTAGTATAGGCATGTAGTTTCTAAATAAATAAATATGCATAGGTTTAGGGGGCATGCTAAAATAAGCTTTACTTCTATTTGATGTGATCAAAAGTGTTTGGAAATGACTGCCTTGCTGTTCAGTGGTTACTGGTCCACTCAGAGGCAGCTTTGCTGAATTGAGTGCTTCAGGCGAAGAGGAGCTACTAGAATCCTGAAAGCATGGGACTTGAATACCTTCCTCTGTGTGTGTGTGTGTGTGTGCACAAGAGACAGACAGAGAGAGAGACAGAGGCAGACAGAGAGACAGAGAGACTGATATTTCTCCTGAGGGAGGCCACCTTTGAGAGTAAGAGCTTTGAATGCAGAGTGTCATGAGGACATATATCCTTGATGGGAATCGTAGCCGGGTTCAGATTTGGTCAGCAGACAGCACTCCCCACTTCCCAGGGGGCCCTTTGAGAACCGGAGGCTGGCAGCCTCGGCGGGACACCATCCTACACCCTCTGTCCCTCTGTGTGAACACACGCACTTGCTCTTCTGCTAGTCGTCCAGATTTCACAAGAGATGCTCATCAGAACCAACCTGGTTGACCATAAAGTTGCCTCAGGCTGGGTGGTGGGCACAGGGGGATGCTTGGCTTGGGTGGTGCTGGGTTTCTGGGTAAGAGATGGCACCCGGGACCCTTGGGCAGGAGAGAGCATCCAGGCTGCACTGGTGGGGCGGCTCCACCTCCTGCACGCACCTGTGGCAGATCTTTGGGCCTGTGGGCTCCACAGAAATTGTCTACTTGATGTTTCCACACAGAGCAAGGGGTTTAGCCTGACAAGAGCTGTGGCGTCTGACTGAGGTGATGGAATGGAGGGTGATTAGGAGAAGAGTCTGCTGACTATTTAGGCTCCTGAGTGGAATCAGTCCCTGAAGTCCAGTGTCTGCAAAACTCTAGGGTCAGGAGCAGCTGACCCAATTTCCAGTTCTGACTCAGGCACTGAGCCAACGGTAGGACCTCTGACAAGGGGATGTCTTTGGTACCCTAAGGTGCAGAGGTGTCTAATATGATTCCAGCCAAAAAATATAGTAATTTTTATATTTTTATAGTTATGTACTTATATATATATATATATATATAACAGTTATATAATTTCAGATGCCAGTGGAAACTAGATAGAACTATATATAGAAAACACACACACATACCTCAGAATGTATCACATGTGACAATATCTCATAGTTTATAGGTCTCATAGTTCATTTGTTATTTAAACAGATTCATCCACGTCTAGGATACAATTACTTCTTTGTTTTGAACACAATCTAGTGGGAGGCGTAGTTTTTTTTTTTTTATATGAAGTAATGATGCGGGATGATTGGCAGTTGAATAGAATTTCCGTTGGTGGTGTTTGTACTTCTTTATATGACCCCACCCCTTTTGCAGCCCTAATATTTGTTTAAAATTTTTCAGTAATTGTTTCTTTCCTCTCGGACTTTGGGAGTCCTAGCCATCCTGATTTTTCTGAATGGTGGAGTCAGTCAATAATAATAAAACAGCAGTGTGAGTTTCTCTTCATACCCATCAGTGCCTGAATCATTTCATCATCACTCAATCCCTCTATGCTAGTCAGCTGCGGGCTGCAAAAGGCAGAGACAAGAGAGCAAACTCATAAAAGATACGGCTAATTCTTCCCTTCCTCCTAATTCCTCCAGACTTTTGCATGGGCTACATATGTGTGTGTGTGTGTGTGCGTGTGTGCGTGTGTGTATACATCTATATGCAGTTTCAGAGTTTGCAGATTGTATACTATCAAAGTGGGTTAATGTCAAGTTCAGCTGTGACTGTTAGCAAGGTGGATGGGGCTGCACGGATGGGGCTGCACAGATGCAGCTTGCAGATGGTGTGGAGTGAGCGGCCTCAAGCACGTAGTTCAAAGTGCAAACAGAAGCTGTGTAATAAAACAGCAAACTGTGGTTGGTGTTGAAACTGCTCCTGGAAAAATGGCACCCAGACTAATGTATTTTAGTCTACATTCTCTTTTGCATGTTTTGAAGCTGTAATAAAAATGAACATCAAAGGTTAAATGTGATCTTTTTTATGTGTGTGTGTAGAAGATGGAAATTGTTCCTTCACTGAGCAATGAAAGATTTTCTGACACCGTGGTTAGCCTCCTTGAAAAATCTCCACTCACAACAGCCTGTGACCACCTAACAGTGAGCCATGTGCTCAGAGTTCTAACTTTATTTATATTGAAGTACAGTTGTTTTACAATGTTGTGTAGTTTCAAGCATTGTGTGTGTGTGTATATATATACATAGACTCTTTTCCATCATAGGTCTTTCAGACCCTTCATCATAGGTTATTACAAGACAGTGAATATAGTTTCCTGTGCTATACAGTACACCCTTGTTGTTTATCTATGTTGTATACAGTAGTGTGTATCTGTTAATCCCGGGGTTCTGACTTTCATTTGCTCTTGTTAATATATCCCTATCTGACAAGTTGACCACTGGAATATTTTCTATGTCTTTCTTTAAGACATCCTACTAATAAAAGAGTCTGAATTCTTACACATTTTCAGAAAAACCCACATGCTTTTCAGGACCAGTATGGCTCTCAGGGAGAAGAGGAAATAGAGGCTTGCTTTGAGGTCCAAGGCTATATTTGATTTATGGTTCATATCTTATAATTTTGTTCCCTATCAGAAAGGGTTTACTTTAGGAGTCCTAGTCTGCACAGAGGACATCCAAAAGACCAGGAGTAAAGATCAGATGGTTGGCAAGGAAGGTGGGCAGAAGTTTTGCAAAATGTCAGTGACATATTTCTTCCAATGGACATGGCTTCAAGACTTAACAAGTTGAGTCCCTAGCTTTGAGTCAGTTTAGCACAGGAGGCAAATTTACACAAAGAAGCATCAGTCTTGAAAGCAGTAGAGCCATTGAACAAGCCTGACTAGCCAATTGTGATTTCTATTTTGGGTGACCTTCTACCTTGGGGCCCCCGAATTGTCTGGGAGAGCCCACTCTTTAAAGAGAAGTCCATCTCAAAGTAGACACAGAAGGGCCAAGGGCTGGGAGGGCAGTGTCTTCCACAAAATCAATGATTCTGCACGTTCACTGATCTTGCAGCTAAGCCAAGATGAAAGATTTATACTATTTCTTATTTCAAGGAAAAACTGAGTAAAGGCTTTTTTTTTTTTTTTTTTTTAAAGGCATTGACTTTCAGGGAAGTAGATTTGCATCCAGACTCAGGAAGTAGACAGGCCAGTAATTGCGAAGCAAAAATAATCTGTAACTTGTGGAAATACAAGGTATGAATAAGTGTTCTATCTCCCAGATAGAGGGGTATTATCTGGTTGTTGTCTTTCAATCAGAGATAAAACATCCTTGGGTAAATTTAAGGAGGGTGACTTAAAAGAAAATTTCCCTCCAGAAATTCTGTAGAAAAGAATTCTCTTAAAAAAAAAAAAAACTAAAGGTGTAGAGGGTTGGGCCGTGGGGTTTTGAGAATTCAAAAGAGCAAGGAAGAGAAAAAAAGGAAACTATTTCCAGTTACTAGTAGATACATCAACCCGGGGGCCAGGTGTGGTGGGTTTTATATAAGCAATACTCTGGTCTATACAAAGCTGGTTGTTTTTCGTAACACTGTGAGAGTCAAGTGTGCTTTTGGGTTTCGACCCTGACAATAGATGTGACCCTGACTCCCTTTTGACAGGCTCCCTGTCCCA